GTACATTTCGTTGAAATCTTACGCACATGGCATCCTTTAGCATCAATATGAGACGCAGAACCCAAGGCGTCATACAGGTGACGCTCGTCTAAATCCAACGCACTTGGCATCGTTTAGCGTGAATATGAGACGCAGATCCCAAGGCATCATAACCGTACCCTACCCCAGACCTAAACCTACCCATAACAGTGGTTGTTATATTGACGCTAAAGGATGCCATGTGCGTAAGATTTCGACGAAATGTCATATGGCGTCACCTATATGACGCCAAAGGATGAGAATGCGTTGGGCAGTCCACTCTGCTTATTGTTTTTCGAGAATCTTGCACTCCTGTTTGTCATTGTGCACGAAACTTCACGCCAATAAAACATCGAAATATTGCTGACTTGTGCGCGTCTCAAGCGCACTCTACGTTCGTCCTAATGCCTGTTAGTTGTCCGTGGATTTGCCTATATTTGGCGTTGAAAATGGAAACGTCTTTAGACATGGAAAATCGATTTTACAATCGATTCAATGAACATTTATGTCTCAAAAATCGATCAGGATTTTTTCACAAAAGTGACAGCCCTAGTTCCAAGAGAGACCAGAGGTGGCGCAGTCCATCTATGAGGGCTTACCAGGCATTGATGGTTTCTTCTGTGGACTTTTATAAAGTTTTTCTGGCCTGTGATTGGAAAAGATTTGTTGCTTGTTCTCTGAGACATTTTAAGTAAAGGACATTTACCATTGAGCTGCAGGAGAGCAATCCTCACTCTACTCCCCCTAAAAGGGGATTTACAAGAGATTAAGAACTGGCGGCCAGTGGCTCTGCTCTGCATTGACTACAGACTTTTGTCAAAGGTGTTGGCAATGAGACTGAAAAAAGTTATGAAGCATATTATTCATGTTGACCAGACTTATTGTATATCCCATAGGTTGATATCTAACAATATTATTTTAATTTGTGATGTTTTAGACTTCTGATTTTAATTGATCAAGAAAAGCCCTTTGACAGAGTTGAACATCAGTATTTGTGGCAAACTTTAGATGCGTTTTGGGTTCAGCTCTGGCCTTATAAACATGATTCAAGTCTTGTATAGTGACATTGAGAGTATTTTAAAAGATCAATGATGGTTTAAATGCTCCTCTTTAAGTTCAAAGGGGGGGTCAGACAAGGATGTTCACCATCTGGCATGCTGTACTCCTTGGCCATAGAGCCTCCTCTGCACAAATCAAGACAATTTCTTTTGGGTGTAAACCTTGAAAGTTTGTAAATTATCTGCTTATACTGATGATGTCATTGTCAATAAATGATATTGACAGCTTGTAGAAAATATTAATCTTTTTGGTGTATTGTCCTCTGCTAAGATTAACTGGGGGAAAAAAAGTGAAGCTGTAACAATCAGTGATGAGTTCAACGAAAATGGAAATTGATCTTGCCACACGTCTTTCAGGGGTCGTACACTAGTGATCAACAACCTAGTGTCATCTATGCTGTGGCACCGACTATCATGTGTAGACCCTCCAGCACAACAAGTACCGCATCATCACCGCCTCAAGGACAGGTCCGGGGTTGAGGGCGAAGCAGAGGAGGTCGTGCAAGAGGGCGGGCAACCAGGGTCCGAGGTTACTTTTCGAATACTGTCTTCCTTTTTTTTACTTGTTTGCCTTCGCTGACTGTATATGCAGGTACTGAGAATTGTGACTGCTCTTTCTCTGCCATCATTACTAGCTTTCGGCCGTGCCTCTTCACCTCCTCGAGCCAATTGGGTGCGTGCATGTGGGCGGCTCCTGAAGCAGCAGGGGTGGTAGCAGGGGTGGTAGCCATGGTAGCAAGGGAGAGTGACAGTTGCCCACCCAATCATTTAATTCGTCCCGAATGGAATAATGAGCTGTGTTTATTGCAGCCCTGAGAGGTCTACAGACACTCGATTTTTATAATCTCTTTCTCAGAGTACTTACATTTTAATTATGCATTGATATATAAAGACAGTTTAAACAAATTTGGAAAAAAGTTGTTTTAGACAAAAACTACCTACCTTACCTTTAATGGTCAAAACACACAAAATTGTCAAAATTACGGTCTTGTCTTATTTTTACAATAATGCCACATAAGTTGCCACTAAAAGTCCAAGACCTGATCGTAATCACATATTTATTTCAATAACCCAAATGTTTACAAATAATTAACTTTAGAATAAGAAATTAATTGTAAAAAAAAAAAAAAAAAAAAATCAGCAATAAGCAGACATGAGAAGTGAAGAGTGAACACACCTGAGTGTGTATGTTTGTACAGGTTTATGTTACATTACGGGGACCACATTTCCCCACAAGGATAGTAAAACCTGAGATCACCCACGAGGGAAATGGGTTAATAAATATACTAACCTATGTTTTTTTTTTTTTTTTATGTAAAATTGCATAAAGTTTTCTGTGATGGGTAGGGTTAGTGTAAGGGGATAGAATATGTTTGTACTGTATAAAAACCATTATGCCTATGGAGAGTCCCCACAAAGATAGCGAACCAGACGTGAGAGAGAGAGAGAGAGAGAGAGAGAGAGAGAGAGAGAGAGAGAGAGAGAGAGAGAGAGAGAGAGAGAGAGAGAGAGAGAGAGAGAGAGAGAGAGAGAGAGAGAGAGAGAGAGAGAGAGAGAGAGAGAGAGAGAGAGAGAGAGAGAGAGATGAGAGAGAGAGAGAGAGAGAGAGAGAGAGAGAGAGAGAGAGAGAGAGAGAGAGAGAGAGAGAGAGAGAGAGATGTTCATCATCATCATGTTCATTCCTCTATGCTGGATTGTGTGATTTCTTTATTTTTTTATTTTTTTGACAAATGAACAATAAATACAATGTGGGGTCATTTGGACTTTTTAGGTTTTTTCATGTGTATATAGATAGATGTAGAAAAAGTCACAAAATCTTATGCAACTGAGATGAAGGGAACCATGTTTTTTAACTAAGGCTCATATTGACCCCAAACACCATATGAGCTTGAGTGCCACGTGTTAAAGCAAAAGACACGGGCGCAATGGTTAAACACGTCAGTCTAGTGCACGTTTACAAAAAGAGGTTCTCTGGAAACTGCCTCAATGCTTTCAGTGAGGGTGCACCATTACGGGATGTCACGTTTATATTTGCACTGGAACAGTCGATTGCAGCTTTGAAACAGAGTCCATTTGAACGGTCTGTAGTGAAACACTATAACGTCTCGAACAACGTCTTTTCTTCACCTGACGATGTCCGCTCTGTGTGTGAGGAGGAACTGCCTAAGCCTCGCTTTCGCCTCAGATACAGAGAGCAGACAAGATGACAGAGGCAGTGGGATCAGCTAAAATGTTTTTATGTAAACATAATAGGCAATATATCACGTTACCAAAAATTATTAAGGTCATGTCCCTATTATCGTGCTATAAGTTAATATAGTAATTATTGTGACAGGCCTATACTTTTCAGGCAAGAGATTTACAAATGTGTCCAGAGTTTACAGGTATACTTTCCCATCTCCAGATATAATAATACGCTGTATGATTAAAGCCTGATTAGGTTACTTAAACACATATTAAAATAAAATTGGAGAAAGTACAATTTTACTTCTTGTGTATAAAATGGATGTCAAATTTACACTATGGCATTTCAACCACAAGACAAGACAATTACTGAAAAAGGTTTATAAATGCATTTGTATTGAATTGAAATCAACTCATTTTATTAATTATGAGTTTATTACATTTAATAGTTAAATTTGATAATTTAAATGATTAGACATTTTATTAATATTATAGCCTAAATCTTTTTACTCACAAGCACCATTAAAACTCTATTATTAACACATTTTCAAACATTTGAATTCATTCAATCAGTCTAAAAGAATGATTTAAAAAAAAGTACTATAAAAACAACTGTATATGAACAGTTGGTCAACAATGTGACCTATAACAATAACCTTGTCAGTTTCCATGACTGACAGGTCAGTTTAAATCAAAGGAGGCCTACAATTTGAATAACAAAAATCTATTTGTACTAGATCTAGATTTATTGATTACAGTATCACCTATTGAAAGAAAGTCTGCACAGTAATTCTGGTTAGACATGCTGGGCTCCATATCTCCATAGCTGTGTGTTAGATAAATTAAATACAGTACAGGCACTACTGGGAAAACAGACAAACCGACATGCTTTATAACTGTCCCATCATCACTCGAACTAATCCATAGTCATATCCCGTTTCTATCTCATTTGTCTTGATCCTCATGCATTACAAATTGTAATCACTGGTAGAAATAATCTTTAGTATTGAATCCTTAGAAGTCTTTCACTTAAAAGAAAGATTATCTCTGAAATAACACTACTTGAACATGGCAAAAAATATATATATATTCTCTTAACTTCTATCCTGTGCAAAACGACTTTTCCCCATCACACCACATCACAGTTCTTTAGCGTTTGCAGATTAAACCCAACTCAATTTGAAAAAAGTCCCTGAAGACACTACACATTTACATTATGATTAACACTATTAACCAGCATTATTCTTCATGTCTTAACAAGATTTGTGCTTGCGTCAGTTTTCCACTCTTGAGTTTGTAAATTCTTAGAAAGAAGTTGTTCAGATGATCTTAATCATTTGAAGGCCTTTAAGAGAACAAATGGGGATTGATTATCATAGATCATTTCAAAACCATACAAGCTATACAAAGATTGATACTATCTTATCTTTCACAATGAAGATCACACTACTTTATCTAGAAACAGATGATCTTAAGGGGATAACTGACCCCAAATTGTCGTTATTTACTCAACCTCATATTGTTCTAAACCTGTACGCATTTCTTTCTCATGTAGAACACAAATTATATTTTAAAGAAAGCTGAGATATTTCTCAAAATGTTTTATACTCCGCATAAGAAAACGTTATACAGTTTTGGAACAATATGGTGGTCAATAAATGATGACATATTCATTTTGGGGTCAACTATACCCTTTATATGTGCTTTACATGGGTTTTACAGTAATGCAACAGCAGGAGATCATTTCTCTTCCATGAATAGGTTGAAGTATTCTGATGAAGGTTTGAATATTTTCAGAGTCAAAATGTATTTTGCTGATATTCGAAACCATTTATAAAACATTGCATAAATAAGTGGATTCATGCATGAATTCATGCATAAAATCCAATACATTATATTAATTACAAAGGAGTCACCTGTGTCTTGACCAACAGTAAGAGCAGCTATATAATATGGTATCCAACAAAGAAGATAAACCATTACAATAATACCTAAGGTTCTTGCAGCCTTTTTTTCTGACTTGGCCTTTTTGTCTGTGAGTGAATTTATATGCTTTGCTTGTTTTTTTGCTACGATACAGATTTTCAGATATAAAGTAATGATTAAACAACAAGGTGTCACTAAAGTAACTAAGACATCTGTTATGATATATCCCAACTTAATAACAAGTATACATTCTCCAATACATGTATAATTTTTCTCTGGATACAGTAGAGAATCATACAAAATAAAAAGAGAATATACGAAGGAAAATACCCAGTTTGCAACAATAGAAAAAACTGCTCTGTTAATATTTACCCTTGATGCATATCGCAAAGGGTCATTCACAGCAATGTAACGATCCACAGATATAATAATCAAATTACCAAGAGATGCTGTTACAACCACATAGAAAATAAAAGGAAATATCGAGCAAAATATTTCTCCAAAGAACCAGCACGGCTCAATCAATTTGATACCCTGTACTGGCATAAGAATCAGTCCCACAATCAGATCAGCCACTGCCAGAGAAAAGATCAGCACATTGGTTGGAGTGTGAAGCTGCTTGAAGTGAGAGATGGAGATGATCACCAGCAAGTTCAGAAACACAGTGAACACTGATATTGTAGAAATGAATATGTATACAATAATGTACTCGAATCCAGGTTTTACATTTTTGGTACAAGACAAATTGTTGTTCGGAAAGCAGTATTGGAATGTTTCATTTTCTGTGTTGGTTGCGCCCCAGTTAGACATATTGAGGATCGCTCAATTTTAAATAGACTCTGTCCTTCATAAGTGAACTATTCCAAATCTGTACGAGGATGCTTGTCAGTTTGTCCTCCTGGAGCTCATGACTGTTACTTATAACATAATGGTATATAAAGCGCAGAGACCACCTATTCAACATGACGTCTAACTATTCACCTTTCACCCCACCTACTAGTTAAATATTCATAGATGGGATTAATCTGAGAATACAGTTTTGAAATAAATGAATCCAATAATCTTTTCATAAAAGAGAATCTCTATCTCAGAGCTTATTTTAAATTTACATTTTACGCATTAAAGTATCTGCACAGACACACTTGCTGTAGGTTTGACAAACTACTATTAGAACTAATCTTTCTACTGCCGTACATTCTACGTGAACTTACTAAAGTTATGCATGTTAATACACAATCAAATTAAAAGCTTGAAGCTTTAGACATGTAATACTTTAGACATGTCCCTGGAAATTCTAATAAATTGAATCTTCAAAGTAAATAGACATGTAAAATTTGCTAAAAAAAATACTAAATTATAGTCATACTTTATTATTATTAAAATAAATAATAATATATATATTTTTAATTATCAGAACCACAAATATTCCCACATTGCATTATTATACATTATATTCAACATTATAAATATATAGTAGTTTAATGTAGTAATGTCACCACATGAATTAGACCACCAGATTGGTTATTTTTATGATGCCTTTAAGACATTTTATGGATCTTTTAAGTTCTAGACTGGAATGGACTTTAAATGGAGGAACAGAAATCTCGCAGGTTTCATAAATATCTTCATTCGTGTTTGGAAGTTGAACTAAAATAGGTTTGAAATGACATAAAGGGGAGTACATGATGACAGAATTTATATTTTTGTGTGAATTATACCTTATAAATACAGTAAGCTGAGTCTTGAATAAAACAAACTATTTCGTGAATCATATCGTTTGCATCAACGATAGATCATACAAAGAAACTTGCATGAATGAGAACAGGCCCGGGACATGCTTGATATTAAAAAGAGGTTTAAACCTACAAAAAGTACTCAATGCAGTAAATCATATGTTGTCTGATAAAATAAGAGAGCAAAAATAACTACATTGTTTTACATATTTATAGTGAAACATTACTCATGAAATAAGATTTATATCCCCCACTTCTATAGGCATGACTGTATTGCAGATCAACGAATCAGCCTGGGGTGTGTTTCCCGAAAGCATCGTTAGCCAACTATGGTCGCAAGTTCCGTCGTTCTCAGCATAGTTCAACGAGTCGATGTTTTCTGAAACCATCGTCCCAAACATTCGCAAACAGCATCGCAAAGTTGTGTGGTTGGAACAACAGCTCTCGAGCTGTGGTTAGAAGCATAGTTTCTAGATTGCATGACATGTGGACTTTATAAATCCTTATCTTGAGCAAAATAAGCAAGCTGACATTTAGTACAACCTGTGTCTTTTATTTAGAATACATACAAATGTAATTTACGTCTTTGAGTTCTGTCAGGACCACTATCGTCGAATACGATTGACAATTAGCATACAGTTTGGATTGGCGGTATGGTTCCGTTCTGAGCAAGAACACCCTGCGCATCCATCCAGCAAAGTACAACATGATTCGAGAATTTTTCTAATTCAAAGGGGAATCAGAATGCCAAATCCTGCCTGCACGAGAGGAGGAGCTGGGGAGGGGGAGGGAGGAGGGTAATTCGCTCCTGAGAAACGCGATAGCTGCTGTACTGAAGGAGCTTATATATGTATACAGTGATCGTATTCCTATAGGTAGACATGGATCAGCTGAGTGTCAGCTGATGCGAGCTTGACTAACATGACCGGCCAGAACTGACGCTACTTTTGATTTTGTCAAGAGATTTAAAGCACCGTTTTTGAAGTCTGCGCATGATGAGAAAAATGAGAAATATTCCTCAGATGCCATGTCTGTCATTTATATCAAAATATCTAGAATTAATTCGATCTCAAACAGTTTCATTAAAGTTATTACTCCACCACGTGGGTGACGTCATAAACCAACGTGGTTGAACGACCACTTTGCGACAATATGGTTCCGGGAAACGGTCGTGACTAGCTAATCGATTTCTTCAATGATGCATCGAACTACGGTAGTGAAGCATCGAGTTACGTCGTCGTTGTACGGAAAACGCACCCCTACTGAATACTTCACTGAATGAACTCATCAATCTAAAGCAGCTACTGAATCAACATAATTATGACAAATTGCATGTCAATGCATCATAATAAAGCTATTAGGCTGCTCTTACTGGCTGGGCCAGAAAGAAAGCAAAATATATATTCTCTCTTGAGTCTTTATGCCTCATAGTCCAGTCTTTGTTCCTGGTTATTCTAATTTTTATAACCATCATTGTACATTAGAAAACAGACTAATCAATATTCTCATCTGAATCTGCACCACCATTACCCTGACATGGTTGGGCAACCACAACAGAGACAGACTGTGATGAATCGACAGTTGGTTATTGTGTTAACTGACCATCTAACAGACAGACCACTAGTGTTACCCTCTAAATAAATAAGGGGGGGGGGGGGGTATAAAGTATAAACCCTCCATTGAATAGGCTAGTTGTTGCTGAAACCTTGTGTGTTTATGCACACAGAAACATTCACAATGTCTTGTTTTCTGCCAAATATTCCAAAGTGTAGACCATACATTTAAGTGACCTATTTGTTTGTCTTGTACAAAGTTTGATAAAGTTAAGTGTTTTGGTGTAATAATGACAAACCCACTCTCAATGGGAAAGGATCTCAGCAACAATCTCTATGATAGCTCTGGTTGCATCAGCTCAAGTCTGTTTACCTGTTACGCCTGCCTGTTTGCCTAACACCTTTGATTGTTAGGCTTCAACAGCATGTTTAATGAGACTACAGATGACAAATGTCAGAGACAAGTGCAAACAGACTCTCAAGAGAGTAACACATTTTGTGTTGATTGGTCACAAGTGTTCACAGAATTATTGCATCATAAGTCAAGCACAGAGACACCAGAGACCACGCTGAACTAAATTTTACACTTAAATTAGCATCGAAGGAGGAGACATCATTACAGATACCAACATTTGTAATAGGTGCTAAAAGCCTCTCTAGAGCATAACACTGTCATATAAATAACGTGGTAAAAAAAAAAGTGTTAATTGATCACAAAAGAGAGTCATGTCAAAAGTGTGGAGAACACTGAAGCTTGTTGAACTTTGACTCTTTCCTTTAAACACGTACCTTCATGATGGAGTAATTTGACAGTATTACTCCTTATCTTCTTAGGGATGATGAATCTGTTGATTACCTATATCAACCTACTTTTCTGCTTAGGGCTCTCAAACACACAGCATTCACATAGGGTTCACACACCTACTGACCAATCATTTGCAGTGATTTGTCTAACACTTTTTTAGTTCTAGATTTAGAATGACATGAGTGTATGTAAATTTAACGGAATTTTTAGTTCCAAATCTATATGATGAAATATTTTACAGCTGAAATGATTCAATATTTTAGAGCATACCTAGAAGCATGTATATTTACTATGAACCATTTTAATATTTTATTAATTTCCATGACTTTTCCAATTATTTAAATGACTAAATAATGATTTCACAGATCAAAAAGAGTCAAATCAATATGATTTAATATTTTTACAGCTGAGCATATGAAGAAGCATGCATATCATAACTATAAAAATGTATTACTTTTACAGGCCTGGAAAGCAGAATATTAAAACAATAGGCCTACATCCAGGTAACTGTGGGAACCCTAGCATTAAAGTTGAATGGTGTAATTTTTCTGACGGTATATATAGAATATAAATTAGCCATTCATGGGTAAACACTGTGCCCTGCATGATGCTCTCAAAACACTGCTTTTTGGCATGTCAACTTCTAAATCAACCAATGGCGTGAGTCTGACAGTAGCCGTGTTTAGCAACAATTTAGGAACTATCATTATTTTTGCAATATCATTTTAGTCACCAGTTGCACAGAAATTACACACTTCACCATATAGTACTTAAAGTGATAGTTCACCCAAAAATGAACATTCATAAGAATTTCTTTCTTCTGTGGTGAACAAAATTAGATATGTTTAATTATTAACGTTTATCCTATAGATAAAAACCATGGGATAGTTTTTAAAATGTATTTTTGTTGTTGTTCTTTTCTTTTTTTTTTCTTTTTTTTGGGGGGGTGAACTAGCCTATCCCTTCAACTTTTTTAATTGTCCTTACTTGATTCTTTGGTTTACACAATGGTTTAGATCCCTCTCTGTGTGCTGTTCTTCGAGACCACGGTCATGTATGGTGAAGCTCATTAAGGCCTGTTACTGGAGCCCTAAAAGAGGAAAGAAGAATCATTAAGCAAGGGGTTCCTTAACAAAAGCCTTGTTGCATATCCACCTTTTACCTGACGAGCCTACTGCGTTTTGAACTATGGGAGGCACTTCCAGTTTGGGGAACTTCCGCACAAAAAGACTGAAACTAATCATTTCAAATTATATGGTTGCTCTACAATCAATCCTTTTCTGTCAGATTGATTCCCTTTCATTCCCTTTTACCCCTACATGGGCAGGTATCCATAAACATTCTACTCTTACTCATGTTTGATTAATTCTATATAAATTCTGTAAAATTTCACATAAATGTATCCTGTCATGAATCTGATTTCCCACTATTTAAACTGTGCAAATATGAGTCTGAACATACTACTACATTTAATGGATGAATTTCTTCCACCCACTGCATAGCCAATAGAATTGCCAGAATTTCTGTTGTGAATACACTACAGATACGAGATTTGATAATCTCTTGCTATATTTAAAAGGGGGAATAAATATAGCTGCTGCTGTAAAACCAGAATCTGGATTTTTTGACCCATAAGTATAGATTTGAACGCTATTAAAATAATTTTGTTTCAAATATTGATCCACCATTATTTCTTTTGGCATACATCTTTCCTTTTCA